TTCACCTGGCATTTTTAACGATATCCGGACGGCAAGCTCAGGGCTGTGACTCAAGCAAACGCATCACGAAAAAATCAAGTATCGGAAAATTTAGAGGAAGGCCAGTTAATTAAGCCTTTGAAGGCTGTCATGTCTTGAACTTTGTCAAGTTTGTCAGTTGTCTTAGTCATAATTGCATGACTGGTTTTTAATACCATTTGGCAAAGTTGTTAGGTTTTTTTGAGAGGTGGCATCACACATGGTTTTACTCCTTGTTTTTTCTTGGTGAGTTACATGCGGTGAATCTTTCTAGGCGGTATTTCAGGGCTTCTTTAAGAGGAAGAAATTAATTTACAGCCGTTAGGTATACTAAAGTGACAATTAAGACATTCCACTGCGTTATACAGCCTGTCTCCTAACAAAAGGGTTTTTTTTTTTTCAATCTTTTTTTTCATGTTGCATTTGAAAAGAAATCTCTTCTTAGCTTTTTTTAAAATTCTTATTGACCTTTTTTCCCCCAGGCCTTTCCCAGGTCTCTGGCTGCTGCCCTAACACTCTTCTCCCGGCATTACAGCTGGTCACAGCTCCCTCTCATGCGCCCCGTGGCTGGCTGTTCCCTCTTTAAATAGTTCATTGGCAACCGTTCATGCCCTCGCCCTGCAGCCCTGGGATTGCCTGGTTCCCCTCTGATCTCAGGCCCTTCAGCAAGACCGTGGTGAAATCCATCAGAGAAGCCCCATCAGTAACTGCAGGGCAAATGCCATGTAGGTCCATCCAAAAACAAACAGTGCCAAGAGCAGAAATCAGCTAACGCGCAAGTAGAAACCGTTTTGTGTCATGGGTTGGCTAAAATATGGAAGTTGTGAAGAGACCGGCAAAAAGGTGAATCGTCCTTCCTATACTGGTGAAGAGAGGGGGACAAGGTGAATCGCCCTTCCTGTACTGGTTTTTAATGTTGGTTGTTTTTTTTCCAGCTCGCTGCTTTCCTTCTCTCTGGGGGCAGATGGAAAACTCCTTGTCAGAAATTAAGAAATAAATCTGCACTGAATTCATAGTCATGACAAGAGTTTGTTGAAGCTGCTTTAAAAACCAGTCCCACAGAAAGGTTAGTAAATCCATGAGTAATCAGCTGTGTCCTTTCATAAAGAGTGTGAAAGATGACCAAAGTGTCTCGGCTGTCCCGGAGGCAGCTCCTGCTGCAGTGATCCCTGCAAAGCAGAGAAGGGATGGGAGGTCCCAGGGCTGGAGGAGCTGACGGCCCTGGGCAAGGAGGCTGCTCTGACAGCTCCAAGCAAGGGCAGATACTTACCAGTATGGCTTTTCTCAGTGGAGTGGTGACCTGGAAGATTAATGCACAATTACGGATTCTGGTTACGTTACTGTAAAGGTTAATACATACCAGAGTGCCTCTAAAGGTGTTGGGTTGTTGAACCTCCATCCTTGGAGGCATTCAACACTGCTGCACCAGGCCTTAAGCAACCTGATTTAAGCAGGGTATCGGACCAGATGTCCCTTCCAAACCTTGCTGTCCTATGAATCGGCCACTTTGCCAATACATTTAGCTCATAACCACCAGATTCAAGATCATGGAAAAGCAGACCACATTAACAACTAAATACTGACCAGGTCAGTTAAAGAGAGCTGATGAAACTGTAGGAAGCTACTAGCAGAGTCTGGAAGTGGGATGCAAGTTATAACCAGGGTGGTAGGGGAAAAAAACAGCAGTGAAACTATTCCCAAGCAATACTTTTCCTTTATAAAGAGAGCCAAATAAATACTTGTTGCTGAAAAAAAAAAAACAGAAAGGAAATAAAAGAGAAACAGCCTGCTGTTCCAAACATCTCCTTTTGGCTTTGAGATAGCCAACATCAGGGATAGCAATTGGATGGACTTAGCATCCAGAAAAGCTGCTAAAAAGGAATCTTGAGCAACCAGAGCAGGCTCTGGGGCCAATAATCCAAAGGACACTTCAAATTTGTGAGGAACCTGAAACAAGAAAGTGTCCTATGGATTTTTCTTTTGCCTGCTACTAAGAGAGAAGCTGTGTTATTTTAGAAATCAGCACAGAGGCTGTGACACCTATCACACACCCAGGAAGATGGAAACTGTAAGTTTGAAGGTGCCCTCCTGGCTGGAGTCCCTAAGTGCAGATGTTTAAGGGATTAATACTGCTCCATGTGGCAGCGGATCTCCTGCAGAATTACCAAGAAAAAGAGGCAACAAACTTCCCTCCCTAGAGCTGGCTTCCTCCTGCAAACCTCCACGCTGCTCCTTTTGAACCGTGCAGGAGTTTTGACACTGAAGCATTTAAGTGCCGTTGGGTGAGCGTCCTGCAAACATTTGATTAGAGCAGTGCAGGGCTCATTAGATTGACCTTTTTTAACATGCTTTCCGACACAGGAGAGAAGAGAAAATAATTACAAGTAAACTCTGTGTTGCTGTTTCAAACATTATGGCCCAGCATCATTTTGACAGTCTCTAACAATGGCATAAATGAACTGAGTAATGTGACCGAGCATCTAGAAAAGACTTATTCCAGAAAACAAGGATGGTAAATCACATGACGCCTCATGAGATGGGGTATTTTGCCAAATTACTGCTTCAGGGGAAGTGAGAACACTTTCAGTAACTGGGATGTTGCTTCATCAGTTTCAGGCATTCAGGGTTCTCACTGCCAAGAACCACCCCTTCTTCCCCACCTCCTACCTCGCTATTTTAATTTTTAATTGGCGATATCTAACAAAGGCTGGTGGTTACCCCTATTTGCTGCTAGAGGAGCCTATTTTTTCTCTTTAAAGGGCTTAAAAAATACTCATGGGGAAATGGGAAGGCTTCAGTGCCTTTTATAACCACCAGCAGACAATCCTGTAGAGTCAAATGCACACATCAAGAGCCAAATAAGAGTAAAACATCATCAGGACAACCCTTCAGTCTGCACTGAGTTTAAACTATTCCTGATCCCCCACCCTAATGTACAATACTCAGCTTTGTACCACATGAGATGCAAGACCAAAACACCAGCGAACTCAATAAAGAGAATTTTTTTTGGCATGGCAATATGACACAGAGCCTTTTGCATTGTGCCTCTAGGACTGGTGTTCAAAACAGCTGGATGGGCCCCTGAGAAGATGTGGCTTTTTCATGTACTGGCGACTGGGTTGCATAGATGACCTGAGTTCATTCATCTCTGTCAAGATACTAGCATGTGTGCTGCCTCACAAAAACTGCTTGGTCCACCTCTGACAGTCAAATACCCAACATCGGCCTTGGAGACGTGTGTGTTAGAAGCAAACAATGACCACCTACAACAAGCCAAAGGCAGATCAACCTGCTTATGTTAACTGCAAAGATGTAAAGACGTGATTTTGTCCTCCTTACCATGCACACAGCTTTGTCATATAATTCATTATACAACTCAGTGCTGTTTAAGTATACTCATAACCATGATCACTTAGGCCAGATCAACACTGCAGTACTATTTTATAGCATATAATAGTTCTTATATATTAACACAGCCAAAAAACGTGACTTTTTCCACTGGGAAGAATTTCTTTTATTGAGACCTTCCTATAAATGCCATATTCTGTTTCTTCATGACTGTTTAAGCCTTGTTTTCCAGCTGCTGCCTTCTACGAAATGAGGCTAATAACAGTACCAGTAACAGCTGGATGATTAATTCCTTAACAACTGTAAAATGCTCTGGTATGAACAGAAAAGGATTTCATTGTGTATTTCTCCTTGGTGTTTCTCAGTTGAATAAGTTCTTCCTTGAAAGCAGCTGACTTCTGCTGCCTGAAAATTTTGTGTCCTTTCCCTCCCCTTCCCCCACCACTTGCATTCATTTCATAATAAAGTAGGGACTACTATGAAATTTCTTAATTTTAACCCCGAATAACAGAATTTTGGGTGCAGGGAGCCCTCCGGCACACATTTTATAGGTCTTTCCAATGGCAGGGG